TAGTGCATTGCGAGGGAAAAATCTATGAAATTTTGCAAACAATCTGATTATTGGTCAAATTTTTATAACTGTTTTTTAATCATCAACTATTTTATCTTAAATCAGGAAATGTAGTCCTACTATAAATATTGGTTTTGTTGGTTCTTAACTCAGTATTTAAAGTGGGAATGTCACGCCAAATTTACCTTTCTCTTATTGTTTCCTCTTTTCTTCCTCTCCGGTAATCTGTTTTCAGAATCTTTTCTTCATATCTGATCTAGTTTTGTTTAAAACATAAGACAAAGTAGGGATTACTTTGTTTTATGTATTTTTCCTATGTTTGACTTCCTTTGACAAAAGGAGGAGTTTAGTCCGCTCCATGTCAAAGAAAGTTTTTCTAGAATACCTTCCTCTGTGTTCTTGCGATGACTCCATGCAAGTTGGGCCTATTAAACTAAAAGCGGCTTGCGGCCTTAATGGGACACTATAGTCACCTGAACAACTTTAGCTCAATGAAGGAGTTTTGGTGTATAGAACATGCCCCTGCAGCCTCATTGCTCAGTCCTCTGCCATTTAGGAGTTAAATCCCTTTGTTTATGAACCCTAGTCACACCTCCCCTGCATGTGACTTGCACAGCCTTCCATAAACACTTCCTGTAAAGAGAGCCCTATTTAGGCTTTCTTTATTGCATGTTCTGTTTAATTAAGATTTTCTTATCCCCTGCTATGTTAATAGCTTGCTAGACCCTGCAAGAGCCTCCTGTATGTGATTAAAGTTCAATTTAGAGATTGAGATACAATTATTTAAGGTAAATCACATCTGTTTGAAAGTAAAACCAGTTTTTTTTTTCATGCAGGCTCTGTCAATCATAGCCAGGGGAGGTGTGGCTAGGGCTGCATAAACAGAAACAAAGTGATTTAACTCCTAAATCACTAAACAGGAGGAAGCTTTAGGAACACTCGTGAAGGGGTTAACCCATATGCCAAAACGGAAAACAACAAAGAGAAGAGTAAACCTAAATCCTAAATGACAGTAAATTGAGCAGTGAAATTGCGGGGGAATGATCTATACACTAAAACTGCTTTATTGAGCTAAAGTAATTTAGGTGACTATAGTTTTCCTTTAAGTAACACACAGGGTCTTCATCTGACCACACTAAGATGGTGGCGCCTGGGACCTCTTGTCTCTCTCCTCGGACGTTACCCATTAGCAGTGGGTGGGGACACTAAGTGACAAAAGGAGGTGGAATCTATCGGTCATGTGTGGGGGGGAGACATATAGGTTGTCCCTGTTTTGTCACTTATGGCCACCACCTGCCGCTGGTGACAACAGGGCCCATGTTTAGTTTAATAGCCCCCAATTGCGGGGTGGGGGGACACACTATGTCCCCCCTCCGTTAATTATTTTAATAGATGCTCCACCATAGGGGATCTGTGCTAGGTCTCCCTTTATTGGATGTGGGGGGTGTTGTATTTTACAACAGTGAGCACTCACTGTTTGATAGACATGAACCTATTTGCGACAGAATGAGTAGAGGCAGAATGGAGATTTTAATCTCCCTTATACTAATATGGGGGTCATATGTACCTTCATAGAGTGGGGGGATATAGGAAGTGGCGGGGAGCACAGCTCACTGCTGCTTCTTTTGTTACATATTACAAGGAGGTAGCCGCGAGCTAGTAGTTCCCTTCTTGTAACAAATTAACGAATGAAGACCGAATGGAAATTAAGTCTTCGTTTGTTGTTTAAAATTTCTATTCATTCATTCGTGTTTCTGGCAAATTAATGAATAGCCAAAACTCATGTCCAAGTTTTGGACAATAGGGCATGCCTAAGTGTTCAACTGGGTATGCACAGGAATTTCACTGTGCTATGTAGTGTGGGCAGGTGACATGTCACCCAGGGTCTTCATCTGCCCACACTAAGATGGCGGCACCTGGGACCTAGATCCGGGCAACGAATTAACAAGGAAACAAAGATGATATGAGTGGCATTTTGGGATGAGTAGGGGGACAATCAAATGTATAGTATGGAGGATGGTTAAAATAAATAAATAAATCCTCTAAATTACAGTTTGGTTCTGCAGTGATGGTAGGATAGGAACATAAAATCTGTACAATGTACATGTCCCATAATGGTGCCAAAGGCTGCCAAGCCCATTATAGACCATGCAGCATAGTAATAATTAGAGGACCAGTCTTAGAATATCCATGTATTAAAGTAAGATACTCTGTCTGAGTGGGTTACTTATAGGGGCAGGTGCGGAACTACTGACAGAGCAGCTGGTGTGAAAACTCCAGAGGCTCAGTGTATCAGGTAGCCTGCCGATGTCTGTCATTCTAATAGGCAGCTCAGGGTCCTTTCTGGCTGTCTGGTAGACTGGAGGTGGAGTTAACCCATTGAGGTAATTATTGCAGTTTCTCAAAAACTAAGGAGCCCTGGGGTACTGCAACCCAGACCACTTCAATGAGCTGAAGTCACCTGGGTGCCTATAGTGCTTTATCTAATCATAATTATACCTTACAACATCTCCCATTTTCTGTGCTCCCTCCTCCCAAACACTCGCCCTTTCTGGTATCCGGTATTCAGATGACTTGACTAACTCACACTCTTCTCTTTATTTGTCCTTCTGTCTTTTAGAAGGTTTTTGGGCAGGTCTTTCTTCGTCCACTGTTCCCGTATGTCAAATGTCTTGTTAGAATAATCCCCCCCCCCCTGTTTTACGTGTCGTATAGCGGTGTGGCGTATGCTGGTGTTCTATAAAATAAATTGTAATTTCCTCTACTCCCTATATTGATCTTTTTAGCACAATCTCAACGTGAAGCCTTTGATTGGTCAGTAAATAATAGATCAACAAGAGTGCTCTTTGTAAGTGGTTCAGTAGTTGCCTAGTTACGTATAATGTTGTATAATA